GGAGGCCATCTAAGCATTGGCGGGGGGGGGGCGTGGAGTGGAACCTGAAGCTCCCAGCTCACACGAGGTCCCCCATCCTGTCTCTCTTGTCCAGCATCCCTTCTCTGCCGCGTTCTGCCATTCCTCCCTCCGAGCTGCACCCCTCGCCCGTCAGTACTCTGCCCCGGGCCCTGGTTTCTCTTGCCAATTTCATTTTGTTTTGTAGCTATTCCAGCTCTAATGGGACTAGGTGGGAGACCTGTCCCGGGCCCCAGCCTTGCAGCTTTCCTCCTCGCTAATCTCTTACCCCTTCTCCCCCATCTTGGGGAAGGGTTGGGGGCAGGAGTCTAGCTACCAGGCTCTCCATCCCCAGGGACTATGAGGGAAGCAACTGGAATCGCTGCGATCCTGCGCTAAGACAGGATCTCAGCTGACCTGCCTGATTGGACCAAACCCCTCCCTCTCTGTTGGGGACCAAGCCAAGCAACTGGAAGCAAAGCAAGAAGGGACCAACGATTAGGTGTCCCCGGTTAGGGGAGGGGGTTGAAACGCTGTCTTTTGGGCTAGTGGGGATCCCCCTCTCTGGAGCCAGCTGGGGGGGAGGTTAGCTGGCACCCGGATTGCCTGCAGGGACCTTGTACTGGACCATCCTCGGTTGCCTCTCCCACCTCATTGCCTCTCTTAATGTTTCCATCCCCGTCTCTCTCCCTCTTCCCATTTTTTCCTCTAAAAACCTTCATAGTAAGTCAAAACTTCAGCAAAATGCGAGTGCTGCAGAACCGAAGCTCAGTCCCTTTTGAAGTGTCTATTTCGCGCTGTTCTTCTCAGGTTTTCATTGGCTTCCTGGGGCTGTGCTACTGCCTGCCGAGGGCTGGGATTTCTGGGGCCGGAGAGAGGCAGGAGTGTGGGGGAGGGGGTGATGGTCCTGCAAACAGGGTCAAAGCAGCATCACCCAGGCCTGGCCAGGCCACTGGAGCTACCATGAATGGGGCCAGCTCCTTGCAGGGCCAGTTCTAGGCTCTGGGGCGTGACTGCTGCTGTCTTGGGAGTGAGGAGTAGCCCAGGGACTGCTTATGTCTGAGCCATGGGGCGGGGCAGATGGTGCCTCCCTGCCTCCCCCATGGTCATCCAGGAGTCCCCCAGGGGGCTGGGAATGAAAGTGATACCCACAACCCTTCTAGAACCAAATACCATTCCAGTAGCGAGGAGAGGAAGGGCTCCTGTGCCTTCTAGTCAGTTTCTACCAAGCAATTTGCTGCTGCGAACTGGGGATACGTCTACACAGCAGCGTAATTTGGAATAACTGGTGTTACTCCAAAATAACAAACTGTGCATCTGCACTACAAGCCTTCATTCCGAAATAACGGTGAGCTGGAGGACTTCTTCCTCCCACTCCTGGTAACCCTCGTTTCACGAGGAGTGAGGGAAGTCGACAGAAGAGCGTATTCCTCTGACTTCCTGCTGTGTAGACAGCGCCAAAAGTGGAATTAAGCTCTTTCGACTTCAGCTACCCAATTGACGGAGGTGAAGTTGCGCATCTTAATTCGACTTTAGCCCTGTGGTGTAGACATTCCCCCAGGGATCCTGCTCGTTCTCCTTTCCCCGCTGCTGGACCAGTGTGCTTTCCGCATGGCCATGTGGAGCAGAGTCCGGGGGGGTCTTAGGCTCTAGCCTGCCCCCCCTGCTCCCCCAGCGCTGGCTGGAGCCACTGCCTGCTCAGTCTGGGTCTGCTTTCGTCCTATGGCCATGAACCAGCTCAGCTGAGCGTGGGGGAAACGCGATGGCTGGCAGAGAGAGTGGGAAGGAGGAGCGAGGTGGCTTGTGTTTCATCTGGGCAAAGACCAGGAGGTGGCTCTGCTGAGATCCAGCGCGTCTGCTTTACGGCGGCACATGCCTTGCTCTGCAGGTGCCACTCCTGGGACTGCGGTTCTGAAAAGCCGGATGGGGGCAGGGAAGTAGAACAAAGGCAGAAACACACACACACCCCAGCGGTCAGCCAGTTCCATCCCCTTTCCCAGGGGCAGCAGGGCAAGTTCTAGTCCCAATTCCATTCCACTTTGAACTGGCCTGTTTCGGGTCCACGGCAAGGGGACCAGGAAGGGAATGAACAGACACACCCGGCCCCGTTTTCTCTGCATTGTCTCATTGGATCCAGGCTGGTGACAGACATTCCAGGCGGCTCCTACATTGGATCGCATCGTGGACCAAACCTTTAAAGCACATTGCCCCACCCCCCATATTTTGGGCACAGGGGTCACTATAACTGGAAATCAGTATGCCGGGAAGAAGACACTTGGTTAAGGAAGCCGAGTATTGAAAAGAGCTGGCTGTGAACCCTCTCTGCCTTGATCCAGGGGGCGTTTTCCCAGTGGATCAACCCGGCTGCCCTCTGGGTTGGCACTCCTTGTGCCTTTCTCCTTCTCAACTGGAATTCCATGTACTTTTGCTGCTCTCATTATCCCAGGGGGGTGACCTGAGGCTGCACGGCAGGTGCATGCAGTGAGGTGGTCTGTAAGCTCTAGGCCCAGCTCGATGGTTTAATCTCTGGCTTCGAGGGCAGCACATCAGTTTCAGGAGTCTTCCCCCTGCTCTGAGAGCACAGGAGACCTCTGCTCGATGGTGCTGCACTGTTCCGGGTTTCCCCCTCAGCCCGCTTCCCCTCCGTACACTTTGACTTTCTCGCTGACCTTTCGGCGGGGAAGGGAGAAAGCGGCAGCTAGGTTCTTAAAATGGGGAAGCCACCCCTGAAACATGGAAGAGGGCTTTGCACACACCTCCTCTTTCTCACACTCGTTTCACTTTTCAAAAGCACAATGGTGATGCAGAACCGCTGCCTAAAGGACACTGAACTGAAGGTGGAAATGGTTCAGCATTAGGGCCTAACGGGTGGGTAGCAGCAGGGACCCTTAAAATCTGTCACTTCCAAGTCTCTCTCTGGTAGCCGCTACAGCGAGGAGGCTTTTATGGGTAAGAGGGTCTCTGATCTTCTGTCCTCGGATCGATGTACTGAGCTAAGAGAGGTGAGGAACGGTCCATCCCCCTGGAAGAGCCAGCTGGGAGCAGGGCTTGGGGATAATAGTGAACCTTCTGGTTTTTCACCTTTCCTGTTCAGCAAAGGGCTTGTGGGAGATGGGGTGGGCCTGGGTGAAAGGGGATGTGATCAGCCTTGGGCAGAGCATAAAAGTGGCAGGGTTGGGGAAATTGAAATCTTTGGTGCTGCTGAAGTGTGTGAGCACAAGACCTGGTGGAGGGAATGGGGAGAGACACATTCCTGATCATTCATACTCTGTTCTTCTAGCCAGTTACCATCTGGGGAGGGGGATGGGCGTAACAATGTGAATAAACCTTTTGTAACGGACCAAATAAAAACACAGGTGACTAAGTTTGGGCCTAAAACTTTTTTAATGCTACCTTGAAACTGTTGTCTTTATCCTCCCCTTCTCCTCTCTCCCCCTCCCCCTTTTTTTTCTCCTGCCATGGAAAACAAACATTTTACTGCTTGATTTCTGCCTTCTCTCTGACTTATGCACTTTTTTGCCTTTTTTTCATAGCTGAAAAAGCACCTAAACCTGTATTTAAAATAAGTAAAATCTTAAAAAAAGATAAAAGCTAAATTGCATCATTGTAACCATTTCATTAATGTGTTTTGTTTTTAAACAAGTCTTGTACCTCTTAGCTTTCTGAGTTGCATTTCAGCGCCGGGCTTAGATCATTTTTTATTGGTGGGGGATTTTTTGTCTGTATTTCTTCCGATGGGCCCCCCAGAAAATGAAATTTATTTGGCCTTTTTAACTGAACCATTAAATGGAACAAATCAACAAATGCTTTCTGGTTTATTCAAATTTAAAATAAAAGTATAATTTTTACCTGCTGACTGCTTTGGTCTTAATTGTGTTTTTAATTTTCCTCTGGTTTTAAACAAGCTACCAGTTTTGCTGGAAGGGAGACAGCAGTAAGTTAGAAAAAGGAAACTAGTTTGAGTCAAAGGTTTAGTGTTTTGTTTTGCCTTTTGTAATCCAGATTTTGCAGTGACTGGATTCCGAGGGGGCAGTGGGACACCCAGTGAAGTCTGTGGGAACTAAATCAACATGCATACTTCTAGCCTATTCCTAACTACTCTTGTAACTGCTACCAGGCAGATTTTAACGTGGCGTGATCTTACGCAAAAACTCTTTAGAGCAAGAGTTCTTGCGTTAAGTAGTTGCGCAAGAGAGCGTCTACACTGGCATGTGCTTTTGCGCAAGAGCATCTATGCCAGTGTAGACGCTCTCTTGTGCAAGAAAGCTCTGATGGCCATTTTAACCATCGGGCTTTCTTACGCAAGAAATTCATGTTGCCTGCCTACACTGGACTCTTGTGCAAGAACAGTTGCACAAAAGGGCTTATTCCTGAGCGGGAGCGTCAGAGTTCTGGCGCAAGAAGCCCTGATTTAATAATTAGAACGTCAGTTTACTTGTGCAAGAACACGCTGCCAATGTAGACAGGCAGCAAGTTTTTGCGCAAGATCGCACCAGTGTAGACACAGCCATGCAGTAATCAGGCCTTGTTAACCATGCAGGGAATTAACTATGGGATGATTTACCCTCCCTACTTGTTTCCCCTCACATAGTATAAACACTCAGGACAAAGTATCAACTCTTCCGAGCAGGGGCTGTCTATTTCTACTGCTATTTCTAGCATCACAGGCAACACGTCCGCTGCAAGTCCTGACCTGTGGCAGTGCATCTGAGCTGGGCCTATGGACTCAGGGTGTGTGCTACAGTGCTAAGGAGAGCTGTGCAAACATTTGGGCTCAGAATGGCTGTCGCAGCTGCTTTTAGACGGGCTGTGAGACTGGAGCCGGGCTCTGAGATGCGCTGCTGCAGGTTTTCGCTGGCCGTGTAGACATAGCCTGAGAGAGTCACTTCCCCCTCCTCTGCCTCCATTTCCCACACCGCTACAAAGGGGCTCATGGAACTATTTTATAAAGCCCTGTGAGAGCTAGGGCTGAAAAGGATGTACCGCTGACTGAGCTCGGCCAGGTACCGCTTTTGGCTTCCAGTGCAGGGGATGCTGGAGAAAAGACCACGGGCAAGCTCAGGGTCTATGCTGAGCCCTAAGGCCGGTTCTGTGTACGAGGGCTAACGGTAGCTTGGCTCACTCCTTCCAAATGGACTTGCTGCTTCGCTTTCATGGCAACGCGATGCCTGCTGTGTTTGGACACGTCCTCACCCCCCTGCATCTTTGAGCCCTTTTGACTCCTCCCAGCTTCCAATGTAGCCACCTGTGAGCAAGAACCCCCCCCCCGCACTTCCCAGCATGTCAAGCATCCCCTATTGCAGGAGTGGGGAACCCAGGCTGGATGCGGCCCCTAGCTTGCCTGGATGCAGCCCCTGAGACTCAGGGTTCTGCTCCAGCATTGGCAAGCCTGTTGCCCTACCACGGAGACAGAGTGCACAAAATCTACTAGCCCACCACCCCCCAGGGTCTGGTGTGCGAGAGGAATGTGGGGCATGTCTTTCTCCCTCTCAGGGACCATGTCAGCGAGGGGGCTTCGATTTTTTTTCTTCTCACTTGTGTGCAGCCCCCCCATTGATTTTTCTCTGGGTCAGCAGCCCCCCGACCCAAAAACGGTTCCCTACCCCCTGCCCTGTTGGAACCACGTTAGCCTGCTAATCTCCACTCCTGTGCTCTATGTCTTTCCCCCAGCCACTGAGAGGGAAACATACGCCTGTAGCCAGGAGGTGGACTGCAAAGCTGTGGGTTCCATTTCTCCTCCTGTCACAGACTTCCCTCGTGGCTTTGGGCAACCACTTAAAGCTCTGTGCCTCAGTTTCCCCTCTGGAGATAAGTCTGTCTTTGGTTGTCTGGAGCATAAGCACTTTGGGGCAGGCATGTAAGAACGCAGTACTGGCCCGACTGAGCAAACCATTGGTCCATTTGCCCCAGTCTTCTGACCGTGGCCAATGGCAGGTGCTTGAGAGAGAATGAATAGAATAGGGTGATTTATGGAGTGATCCATCCCCTGTCATCCAGGTTTTAGCATAGGTTTAGGAGAATAGAGCATAAGGCTTCTTCCCTTCCCATGTTGGCTAATAGCAACCGAGGGATCTAGTCTCAAAGAACTCATCTAACTCTGTGTCTCATGATGCGTCTGAGCAGCATCTAGTGCAACAGGGTCTTGTTCTGGGTTGCTGCCTCTAGGTGTTACTTTCATAATCATATAGCTCACCCTTCCACAGGGCTCAGGGCACGTGTGTCTGAGCTAAGAACCTATTTACTGTTTTATGGGCAGAAAGCCTCAGTCCACCATTAAGCCTGTTCCCACCTGCTGCTAACAACACAGCGGAGCCCTGTGTGGATCAGGCTATAAACAGCTGGCTTTGAGGAGAAAACCATGGTCACTGCTGCTGTGTTGGAACGTGCCTCATCATCCCTGTGCCGCTCCAGCCAGCCATGCAAACATACAACAAGCCCCATGTTCTGCAGTGATGCCCTAACGGCACAGCCCACGCCTGCCTTGGGATGCCCAGGAAGGCACCAAACTTTCCAGACATGCTGGAGTGATGGCTGATGTTTATAAGTCAGCCCCACCCCTGCAGGCCCCCAACGTCACCCAGAGAAGGAAAAATCTGAGCCACGACAAAATCAGCCACAAATGGGCTGTCTGAACCAGCTGGGACTTGGGCTGCTCAAAACAGCGGGTAGCAGAGCAACACTTCCTGCAGGTACAGCATTCATTACTGCTAGCTCCGCTGCTGGCTGAGTCCCTTTGTGTACTCTCAGATCCTTAGGAGCCTGGTTTTCAGCGCTAGGCACCTCCTCCCCAGTTTGAACCCTCGCTTTCCATTCCCCTCCCTTTTAACTCTACTCTCAGCCTTGATTAAAAGCTACAGTGCAATCTGATAATGCATCTGCACTCGGTCCTGGGCATGGCTCTCTGTCCTCCAGCTGAGAGAGGAGGGAGATACTGTGGGGGTTGGGGAAGGAGATCTGGGCTAGTCCTCCTCTCTGCCATTGCAGCCAGCTTGCCTGCCTCCTTCACTGCCGCAGCCTCTGCAACTCCGCAGCCCAAACAGGCAGTCCGTGCCCCTGCCTCCGCCACCTCCACCATGCTGGATATTTTCATCTTAATGTTTTTTGCCATCATCGGCCTGGTGATCCTCTCCTACATCATCTACCTGCTCTAGGAGCCCCACCTGCCGTGCAGAGGAAAGATGAAGCCTGGGAAGCCAGCCATCCTGCCAATCAAAACATCTTCCAGGTGAGGATTTGCTCCTGCCTGTCACAGACCATTTTAACGGCCAGGGAATAAAGCAATGGTTAGTGTTTGTTCGCAATGCTGTTTTCAGCCACTGCTTTCTGACCCAGACATACTGCAGGCGATGCTGTAGCCCTGTCCTGCTCAGCAAATGATGTGGGAGAAGAAACATTTTTTTAAATCAGGCTGCTTAGAATAAATATATACAAATCTGTTATTTTTTCTCCAGCTCCAGCTACCAGTTGCTCGCACTCAAGGGCTTTCTGCTGCCTTTAGTAACCATGCTGCATGCCCTAGTGATTTCTATTCCCAAAGAGAAAGAAGTAAAATATAACGTTATAGATCAAATAAGTGAGTCAGGTTGCATGCTGTGAATGGCGGCAGATGGGTCTTACAATATCTAGCATTCTTGTGCATCATTTTAGCAACAGACCACACATTCCGTCTGCTCTGCCCAGGTGATAAAAATCCAATGCCTTTTGTCACTTGTGTTTATATATGTTCAGTTTTCCCTTCCTTAAGCTTGTCTGGGGTTTCTGCAGCTCTCAGGCCTGGGTCAGCCAAGTGTCACCTTATCCGCAGTGGCAGCCGCAGCTATGCCTTCTGGAGAAAGAGTTAACCCTTTGCAAGCAACCTGCTTCCCAAGCAGCTGGAGAGAGGAAAGCGCCAAGAAGAGCAGCCATTGGACGGTGCAGATGTCAAGACTTATAAATGCCCTTCACAGAGCGTCTGAGCTGTAATGCATTTGAAGAGCAAATACAAAGCAACATGGCAGCAAGATGGAACAGAGCGAGAGTGAGAGCGCATTATACTGAAACCTCATTATGGAGAAATGTGTTGTTTCGTTTGCCATGACAGTATTAAGGAAATGTAACGGTTCATTGTTTTGTAGCTGCATAGCTACCCTGATCCTTGGCAAAATAGTTGTTGTTTTTTAGTTTTAGAAAGTATAAATATATTTTTAATTAAAAAAAAAACAGAAAAAAAATTAAAAAGCTAAGAAAATGAGAGCATAATCTGATTGTCATCATAGTATCTTAAGTGAGCACGTCACCTTGCTTTCGTTCTAACTGGCCACTCACTGCTTTTCATGGGGCATTACTAACATGCAGCTGCTTCTGGGGTGGAGGGTGGCAACCAGCTAGCATGCTTCAGGAATGGGAGCAGGTATTTCAGACAAGGACTGTAAAGGAAAATCCTTATGCATATGAAAGATGTGAGGGTAACCGTCTTGTCCAGTTAATCAAGACAGATGGTTCTGTGTTTGAAAAATGCTTTAAAACATGTTTCTGCCACTAAACCAGTTGGGAATGCGAGTGCCCAGTTTATATAGACAGGGCACCAACCAGAAGTCAGATTAGCTTCACAAACCATTAGATAGTCAGCGACTCATACGGTGATCATGTGCAGGGAGAATCCTGGTTGGAAGGTGTATGATACTATAGTATGGGCCCATCTGTTTTGAGGGTGGGCATCCCCACAGCTCCAAATAAAGCCATAGTGAGTTATGTGTCTAAACCTCCTACTGTACCCAGCCAGGAGTCAGATCTATGAGAGGGCAGAGCTTAATTTACCACTACTTGGAGAGGTTTGAGCAAGGGTCTCTGGGACCTTTTGGGAAATTTCCCTGTAGGCCATTGTGATCCTGAATGAAACCAGGATCAGACTCTGTATTATCCCTTTTGCTCAGCCCTTCAGTGTGTAGGACCAGGAGGGGTCTGGAATAGTTAACTAGTGGGAAAGAGAACAGAGGCCCAAACACTAGCATTAAGTTTTTAAAAAGTGGCCACTTTTGGTGCCCATCTTGGACCATTTGGACAGTCCATATTTGTGGCTATTTCCACAAAATTTGCCCCACTGCCAGTGTTTGAATTATGGTAAAAATGCTGGTAGGCCCATCCCTTTTGTGCAACTGTGAACAGTGCAAGCATACCATATCTGCCTGAGCACTGCAGTCATCATATTTATTTCTTCCTCATCATCCAGATTGCTATCTGCATGCTGGATTATAGCAGACACTTTTTATTTTGGACAAATATAGGCAGTTTTCTGGAATTAGAAATGGAATGAAAATCAACAGCTTGAAAGTTTTAATCATCCACTATTGTGTAACAAATATCACATGTAATGTTTATTTCAGATTGTATTGTATAATGAAAACAATCCTCCTAGAAGGTAAGATGGCTGGTCTCCGGCATTTAAATCTTGCTGGTAAGAAATAAATCCCTGGCACAGAAGTTTTGTAATGGAAAAAATTGTGATGCATCCTTAACTCACATGACACTAGTGTGATTAGGAGGAAATTTACTCTGAATAGTAATGTTTGTGGTTTAGATAAGCACTTTTGGAATACAAGTGGCAAGAGTTACTTGTTATCTGTTAATAAGACATCTACAAAAATATTTACATAAAGAAGGGCACGCTAAAAGTTCAGTAATGCTGGAATTATGGTTATCACTGCAAACTGAGTACTTGACATAGTGCAATTTCCTGTTAGTACAACATTTCCTGAGGAAGAAGTGCAGTGTGTGTAGTTTTGCCTGTGGATCCAAATTGTTGTCCTCCCCCTGCAGTACATCTGTTTTAGTCCAAATTGTATTATACAGCTCACCAACTGCCATGGTCCAACTGTCAGGGTTTAAAAAAGAGTGAGACCCAAAATGAGGAACTGAACCCTTCTCTTACCCCTTCCAAATAGCTGAAATTGAAACTCTAAATGTTATGGGAAGAACTTCTTCAATATAAATAAAATTTTCAATAACCTCAGTTTCATGAGTCTGTATATTTGATATCAATAAACTAGTGATAAGGAGTGATGATGTCACACTGTCATCCTGCAGGAAATTTTTTTTTTATATATATAGAGAGTGATAATTATTACTCATAACAGTGAGGGATAACGAACAAGAATGTATCTTTAAAATATTGTTTAAAATCCAAAGCATCAATTTAAAAAACAATATTAATGTATTAGTATGTTTAATATTCTGTTTTTAATTGAATGGTTTAATCTCTCACCTTACACCTCCACCCGTACGTGCAGTCAAATTCTGATCTTGGATACATGTAAAAAAAAATACTTTTTAAATGGAAAGTATTAGGGGCCATTACCAGCTCGTTACTAGTGAAATTGGCTGGGTGCAGATCTTCAGCTCCTGCGAATTGTCAGCTCCCACAATTTAGGTGTGCTGATGATCATTTGCCTCTTGGAGATGAAAAAACGGTTACTCATCTTCTTGTAACTATTATTCTTCAAGATGTGTTGTCCATGTCCATTCCAAATCAGATGTTTGTGCGCGCACATGCACATTAGCCAGATTTTTTTCCCCAAGCAGCTAGCCATAAGGTTGGCCTGAGTGCCCACTGAAGTTGCACCCCTATGGCACGCAATATAGCACTCCATTTGCTCCCCCCCTGCTTTCAGTTCTTCTTGCCGGTTGCTCTGATAGAGGAGTAGGAGTAGGAAAGTGACTATTGGAATGGACATGAACACCACATCATATATATAGTAGCCCAGTGTCTGAGAGTCTGTAACGCCAAAATGCTGGCTGTTCCTTCTGGGTGGCCCGTGCTGCATGGGGAGCGCGGGGCCCAAACGGCCGCTTGCTCCCCCGTGGCGGCCCGGCTGAGTGGCACAGAAGTCAGCCGAGTGCCACGGTGGGAGGCGAAGGGGGGGCGGTGTGATAACGTGCGGCGTGACAGCGGCTCCAGGCCCTGCCCCCTGGCTGTGAACGTCACCGCCTCCCTTCACCTCCCACTGAGGTGCTCGGATGACTTCTGCGCCGCTCAGCCAGGCTGCCACATGGGAACAAGTGGCGCAAGTGACCATTTGGGCTCCCGCGCTCCCCGTGCAGCATGGGGAGTACGGAGCCCAAACGGCCATTTGGGCTCTGTGGTCCCCCGAGTGAGAGGCAGGAGAGGGAGGAGAAGAGAAAGAGAGAGACAGAGAAGGCCAAGATAACACATTTTCTCCTTCCTTCTTGTGACACCCTTTTAGATACCTGAAAACCGCTATCATGTCCCCTCTCAATCTTCTCTTTTCCAAACTAAACAAGCCCAATTCTTTCAGTCTTCCTTCATAGGTCATGTTCTCTAGATCTTTCATCATTCTTGTTGCTCTTCTCTGGACCTTCTCCAATTTCTCCACATCTTTCTTGAAATGTGGTACCCAGAACTGGACACAGTACTCCAACTGAGGCCTAATCAGCCTCTGTAGAGTGGAAGAATGACTTCTCGTGTCTTGCTCACAGCAAAGCAATACAGTCGGGGCAGAGGAAGACAGTACATCTACAAGGGGGTCAATATCCTCTACCACCTCCTCTGCCTGTATATTGAGAACCTGGGCCACCCTTCTGAGGAATTGTTGGAGGACTTTACATCTTTCAAGGACAGGGCTGGTGTTGAGCCCATGAGCATGTCATCAGGGGAAAAGGAGGAGAAGGTGCCTATCGACTGTTGGATCTCCTGCTGTATAGGACCTGCCTGGATAACTGTTTGTACTCCAATACCGGAGTATACTAACAGCACCTAAGACGGTGCCAATGGTGCTGGTGCCGGAAGCAGTGCTGGAGCTGATGTTGATGCTTGTGCCAGTGTCGGTGCCAGTGTCGATATCAGTGCCAAAGTTGCAGGTATCAATATTGATGCCAGTGCCGATATCTGTGCCGAAGTCAGCCCTCTCGGTGGTGTCGGATTTGGCAATGGTGTTGAGGCTGGAACAGTTACATGTGGCATGATGGCTGAAGGGGTTGGAGGCTCTACCACTTCAACTGTCACTGCAGCTGGTAGCATCTGTGGGGGAACGAAGATGACTAATACCACAGATGGGCTATGTCTAGACTGGCATGATTTTCCGGAAATGCTTTTAACGGAAAAGTTTTCCGTTAAAAGCATTTTCGGAACAGAGCATCTAGATTGGCACAGACGCTTTTCCACAAAAACACTTTTTGCGGAAAAGCGTCCATGCCAATCTAGACGCGCTTTTCTGCAAAAAAGTCCCAATCGCCATTTTCGCGATCGGGACTTTTTTGCGGAAAACAAATCTGAGCTGTCTACACTGTCTCTTTTGAGCAAAAGTTTTGTGCTAAAGGACTTTTGCCCGAATGGGAGCAGCATAGTATTTCTGCAAGAACACTGACAATCTTACATGAGATCATCAGTGCTTTTGCGAAAATTCAAGCAGCCAGTGTAGACAGCTGGCAAGTTTTTCCGGAAAAGCGGCTGATTTTCCAGAAAAACTGGCCAGTCTAGACACAGCCATGATGTTTGGCTCTAACCTTGGCTTTATGACAAACTCAGGGAGTCCAAAAGGGCCAATGGGCCAGGGAATGCCACTGAGTGGGCCATGGTGCCAAAAAGCAGAGCCAATCATGGGTGGATGTTCATCTCTTGCTCGTGCGCCGACAGGATCTGCTCAGTTGGACTCTGATTCTGAGGTGTCCATACAGACAGCCAAGAAGAAACTGAATTTCTAGGCACTGAATTTCAGTGCGATGATTTACTCCTTGGATCCCATTGCAGTGCTGGTGAGCAGTGTGTTGGCAAGGGTGAGCATCGAACCATCATGGCTGGCTTGCCTCTCAACAGCACCCTCAGTGGAGCTGGTACTGAAGAGGAAAAGGGGGGCATAGTGTACTGTACATCAAATCCTGGGCTACTTGAAAAGCCTCAGGCAGGAAAGGCATGACGATGTCCCTTGCTGACTGGGCTGGTGGTGGGGTGTTCAGCTCCTGGGTTCTTCCTCCCAATTCAGGTGCCGGTACCAAAGCTTAGTGATAACTTGGGTTTCATCCTAGGCTTGTCTTTGGACTTGGTTATAGGAGACCTCCCTCTATCTGGTATCTTCTTCTGTGGCACTGGTGGATTGGGAATGGCATCGCCAATGCATGCTGCAAGATGAGCCCATCAGGTGCTGCAAGTCCTTAGGTGGTGCCTGAGGTTGAGTTGACGGCATGGAAGCACCATGCACCGAGAAAGGAATGCTTGGTACCAAGTCTGTCAGTGTGTGGTCTGGCTGAGGTTGGAGTGCTGCCTCATGAGCAATTCCGTCAGGTGTTGATCTCTGTCTGTGACTGTGTGAGCTGTTGCACTTGCGAGCAAGAACACAGGGAGTTCCAGCTAACTGTCACTGGCAGTAAGAAGGAATTGAAAGGGGAAAGGTGGCTGGCGGGGCATTATATTGAGTGCCATGGAGGCATGACTCCAGTGGGCGCCCTGGCCAATCCTACAACTACCTGCTAGGGGAAAAGTCTTCTGGCTAACATGCAGGTGTGCACACAAACGTCTGATTTGGAATGCACATGAACAAACACTCAGAGAAGAATAACAGTCTCTGAGGGCAAAATTTGGCACATATTTGAATAATTAATAAATATTTCAGTTGAGGAAAAAGGTATTTTAATAATATGAAGAAAATAGCCATCCTATAAATAACCCAAAATGTAATAAATACTGTTTAGCACATATTAAATATTTTCATTTTTTAAAGCAATGTACCATAAATATAATTTTTTTAGACTAGAATACATATCTGGTACTTTAATAAAAACCAGTGATCTTCATGAATTAATATCTACATGCATTAAACATTGTTCAACTTAGCAGACATATAATTTTTTTAACTATTCAGTTATTATATTTAGTACAAAGGTGCATTCTGAAGTTTCTTCTGCTTTATAGATGAAAAGCATGTTCTGTAAAAAAAAAAAAAAAAAAACCCACAAAAAACAAAACAAAAAACCAACCTTCCATCCTTAAAAAACTATGGCTTTTTCCAGAGAGCCTTTGTACTGAAACTTAATGCCCAAGCCATGCAGATACCTACGGCAGAGTTCAGGAGCGAAGAATATCAGAGTGAATTATAGATACCCAAGTGTAACTTGAACTGGAGATACCTGGCAATGCCTTTCTCATTATATTGGTTTTTAATTAATGGATTCCAAAGAGAAAACAAAATTAAAAGAGCAAAATATTTTCTGTTCTGAACTAAAACAACATTCTTTAATTTGTGGTTGTACATCAAATCTCAACACCATGTCATTTTTATTTTGTATCCAAACATACACAGTGGGAGAAGAATGCAGTGTGTATTCCCACCCATAACAGTCAAACCATGGAATGTCACAGATGGGCTTCTCAGCACATCTTGACACACACTCTTTGGCAAGTTTATTGCACAGATTGTGCTGTAGTTTCTTATAGTTGCCTCACTACATCTTTATAGGTTTAAGTAATTCTTCTGCTTTGTATTTCACTAGCATCTCCCGTCAGCCTTCTGCTGCTTCTGCAAAAGTTATACTTCCAGACTTAACGGGTTATTATATTTTCTATTTTTGATAGTGTGATCAGTAGCTGTTAAAACTTGGCAAGAAGCTGCTGGAGAATGAATTTAAAAGATAAGTGGACACCTATATGAATCACTGTAGTAATTGTGAGTATTTAAGTAGAGGTACTTCTCATGGTGAGATATAGAATTTCCTTATGGAAGTTAGATTGTGCATTCACCAGGTGAAATAAATTCAAAAAGCTGCTGTCTTCTTCCTCACGATCTCCTAAGCACCAGAAGGGAAACATTAAAAATAGCTAATGAAAACAAAGGGTTCATCTGTAAGAAGAACTTAGAAACTACTTAGTATTTTAGCAGAGGCCAAGTATAACTCAGGTACCTCCTGACACCAAATGGCAGAGGGATGGGGAGAATAGAGTTTAACAGGGATCCCATGTTAGATACCCACAATAATTCACCAAAGCATGGCATGCAAAATCATTACAAAAAGCTAGTAGCCCACAAGTCATTGAAATATATACATTGACAATATTTGAGACGTTATGTATCTATACTGTACTGAAAATTATGTTCTTAAAGCCTTGGTGTTAAAAACACATCACCAAGAGGTGATATACTAGACAGATTTTTTTCAGGTAGATGGTAAGTGTTCCCTAAGCTGCTCAGCAGCACAGCATCACAGATGATGTTCCATGCATGGAGCTAACTGACTGGGCAGGGATGATTAACCACCTGTGAAGCTGTAGCAGATGTTTATTTTTCTGGCTCTGTATTGTGTCTCTCTCAATGTAAGTCTATTTACATACTGAGCCACTGTCTAATCAAGATTGAAAAATTGACAAGCAAATCGAAAATTTGCAAGAAAGGAGTATAAAGGGAAAACAACACGTGGGGGCATCACATTTCTGAAGACAAATGAAGGAACTTGTATATCTTTATTTCTGGGAAGTCAGAACAACACACTTGTATCCTTTACCGCAGGGGCAAGTTGGCAATATGTCTTGTTTCACGAAAAAGAGATCATAGCGTGCCAGGCTAGAAAGCACTGCTGAGCAATACTTTATCAGCCATGAAAGTATTTTGTTAAGCAAGTCTACACTCTAGAATGTCTGTTATGATTTTATTATATATGCAGTCATTTGTGTCCAATACTTCTACTTGCTATCATTTGAATCTCTTTTCTTTTTTAAATAAATGTCTGCTTGTTTTCACTCTGAACATAGCTAAATGCTGCATGTCAAATGGATCACTTAGGTTATCTAACGTGTAACTGATCATTTGGAGTGCGTTGCTTCTTTGGGAGCAGTGACTGTAGGAATACTGTGAGTGTCCAATGAAACAGGCTAGACACTCCAGGATAGGGTTGCCAGATGGTTTCAACAAAAATACCGGACACACTTGACATCACAATCTATATTATATCTAATTTAGAAAATACCAGACATTTATATTTTCTCAATTTGTTTCCCAAACAGAAAGCTCAAATACTACCTGGCAACCCTACTCCAGGAAGATGATTACATGGCTCAGGGTTTGGGGTATGCTTGTCTATTGCTAACCTGACGAGGGACAGCAGAGCCTGCTTAGGCCAAAAGGTGAATATTTAGTTGTGCTGCCTGTGGATGGTGGAGTCAGGCACTTGACCCATGGTAAGCACCGACAAGATGTCCTCACGCTAAGAGCTGGTGGTAGTGAGGTGCCTCACAGCCCTGGATACCACTGGGAAGCATGGCACCAAATTAACTACTTCCATTTAGATCTATTAGACATCAGATATAGAATCTGATGGTGGGACAGCTATGAAATAACATCACAGACTCTCATAAACAGTTTGTCCAGGATTGAACAAGAACAATCTTGCTTTAAGATAGAAATCTGTCCTAACTGAGCAACCTGTTCATCTTTACTTCTTGCAATTATAAAACAGTCTTGAGTTTATATCAGAGGTGACAGAGTTTGGACCATGGAGGGAATGCAGCCCAAGGAATTTAATAATAATAAATTCCCTGATGCAGCCACTCTGATCTTGAATGGAAGGACAGCCCAAAAGGACTCCAGATCCCAATATGTGATACTGGCACATGGGGCTACCAATCCTGGTGGAGGGAGCATGTCACTCCCTGCTTTCAGCGTCTTCCCTGTGGGACAGTGCCCAGCTTGTTCCCTCTGCCCCAGCCAGGGCAGCTCCTCCCAGCTCCCCTCTCCCTGCAGCCAAGACAGCTCCCAATGTGCCACCCCGCCGCCAGCTCTGGGCAGATCCCAGCTCCCAGGACCCCGTCCCCAGCCATACTTTCTCCTGCAGCTGGGGACAATGTTGGGGACAGGGTTGCCCAGTGCTCTGGCCAGGCCACAAGGGACAGGAGACCAGACCAGCCCTGCCCCAGGCTGATCCCACTGGGGCAGAACTCTGCCTGCAGAGCAGGGACCCCCAAACTCCAGCTCCAGAGTCTGTAACAGGGTTTATTTATTGTAACAGTCACTCCCATATGGCAGCCAGCTGCTGCTCCAAACAGGGAATGAGTTAGTGGCCCATGGGCTGCGTGTGGAATGGAGGCTGCACCTCGCCAGAAATGCAGGGAGTTCGGCTAGCGGGTCCGGGCAGGCTGGTCAGGACCCAGGCTGCTGGCACCTGGATGACGGACTCCAGAGGCCCATGGCGCTCTCTGGTGGGTGTGAGTACACGGCGTGTGTGGATGGTGCAAGGTGGGGGTGGAGCAGCAGGGACACGGCCATGACAGAAGCAGGTCCTTCACAGGCTAGATGACAGCCAGGTCTGCTTTTGCCCCCCGCGCCAGGCCAACTTGAGTGTACATCTACCATCACAACAGGATGGGTAATACTATTAATTATAAAAAGAATATCCCATCTTTTTCAATTAATTCCCTTCAAGGGTAGCTCTAACTGATTAGGAAGGGGGCCTGGCTGGAGCTGTGATGATCCAGGAGCGCCCATCCCCTGTTCTGCTGGAGTCTTGGCTAGTGGGCATGTCCCATTGAAAGAGCTCACCTGTTGCAGACAGGCATAGATACTCACCAGACATTACTGACTGTAACATGTCCATGATCATGTGAGCAAATGCATTTTCCACGCTCTGCAGGAAGTTATTCCTTTCGCCGGGAGTGCTGAAAACCTTACAGACTTTCTGCATCATTTTTACTGCCCAATCCATGCAGTATAGGTCCTTTTCACAGACCTAGAACATACAAGAAATATTACAATACATATTCATAGTGGAGATGAGCTAAAAAAATCCCATGAAAACAACATGTTGATGTACTAAAATTCATAGTAGACAATTCTGGCACTATTCCACAATACAATGGGCTTTAATCTTACTGTGGAATCTATTCCAGGGCCTATGTGAGAGGATGCTCTTGTAGAGCTGTTCTGTCCATACAATGAAGGAGAGAGAACTCCATTTCCACTTTATGCTAGAATTATTTTCCCCTAGGGACAGAGTTGATACCTTCAAGCTCTGTATAGGGGCCTTTGAAATCAATGGGCCTGACTCTCTTTTGCCCAATGTTGTTATTCGTTCTTAGTGTAAGGAAAATCAGGCCCTAGCCCTGAGAAAGCAGAGATGCAGATTTAGTGGCAAAATGCCAAAAACTTCTATTCAGTGATACTCACCAAAGCCAGAAAGACTACTAGCCTGGCCAACTCAACAGCCCGCCCATTCACAGCTTTACTAGCCATGAAGGTGAAGCAGATGTTGTTTCCACTCAATATGAGGAGGCGAGCATTATTCTCCATGAGCCACTCCCGGGGAACCACTTTTATAATACAAATACAAAGGATTATTCATTACCTATGATTCAACACACTGTACATAATTTAGTCAAATATAGGTTAGAAAATGTAGGTTACAATTAAACTAAAAGAAAATTATCTGAACAAAATTCTGAATGTATTTTAATTTATGAATCACTGCATTTGACAGCCATCTGACACGCTTGAGAGGAAAGCCCATTCAAACACACCTACAACACAGCTGGGAGCTACAGAATTACTATGGTCCCAATGGGAATTGTTTGTGTTAAGGCTGATGATAATAAAATGTATAATACAATCTCTCCAAACTCCAACCAAACTTAAAGTATAACACCATCAAATTATGGATTCCTTTCCAGAGACCAGCTTCTTTCCCAGTAAAGGCCACCATACTTTCTATTTAAAAAGGTCAAAAACACATCAAAAACTTACCTATAGCTCCAACAAAGGCTTAGATGATTAAAAATGAAACTACAATGGATACCAGTTATTAGCAAATTATTGGTTGCCAACTAAAAGCTTCCACTATCCAAGGCTGTGTCTAGACTACATGCCTCTGTTGGCAGAGGTATGTAGATTAGACACATAGGCAAAGTCAAATGAAGCCGTGATTTAAATGATCGCGGCTTCATTTAAATTTACATGGCTGCCGCGCTGAGCCAACAAACAGCTGATCAGCTGTTTGTCCACTCAGCGCGCTAGTCTGGACGCTCCCCTGCCGACCTCAAAGCCCTTTGTCGGCAGGCCCCGGTCAACTCA